AGCCCTCAACCTCTAAATCCGTAACCCTAAGCCCTAAGCCCCTAAGCCTTAAGCCCTAAACCCTAAACCCCTAACCCTCAAACCCTAAACCCTAAACCCCGAACCCTTAAACCCCTAAAGGCCCAGTACTTGCAGCCCAGGCAACGAGGGTCCCAGGTTCGAACCGTCTTGTCCCAGGAGGCCGAGATGATTTGCCGGTGCCTGGGACATTGCAAGGGATATGTATACATAGTTTAGGGTTTAGGGTTTAGGGTTTAGGGTTTGGGGTTTAGGGTTTAGGGTTTAGGGTTTAGGGTTTAGGATTTAGGGTTTAGGGTTTAGGGTACATATAAATATATATATATATAATCTACAGTTCCTCTTAAGTAGATAGAATATGGCTTTAGGCATATTATAATAAGATCCCCATAACCCCATATTCTATCTACTTAAGGGGGACTATATGTTTAGTTAGGGTTCAGAGATTTAGGGTTCAGGGTTTAGGAAGCTGATTCGACTTGCCTGTTTAAGGTTTGGGGTCCATTTTAAGGGAACAAGGGGTCACACAGGGATAGACAGGGTTCAGGGTTGTTCTAATTGCGTAAGACTTCAATGTTAAGGATTCTAGGGCGTAGGATTTCGAGTTACGCGTTCAGGGTTTAGGCTTCAAGGGCATGTGGGAGGATCTTTCTGGAGGGTGTAGCGTCTAATAAGAAAACCTTGGGCCCCCAGCATGGGCCCTTAACCCTGGGATCCTCATATACCTATTGCATACCCTGTATGTGCCCTTAAAGGTTCCTAGAATCTCCCTAAAAGCCCTTAGGGCCCATGCTAGGGGCCCATAATTCTAGCCTTAGATAGGGTGAAGGGTTTCGGCCTGGGTTTCTATGCTGCGGGTCCTGTAATTGGGTTTAGGGTTTAGGGGTTTAGGGTGCTGCTGAAACCTGAAGAACCCAAAATCGAGGGAAAGGAGGCCATCAGTACCCACTGTTGGCATTGCAGATACCCGAACGCCAGACTTGAGGCTTGCGGCTTAGGGTTTTTTAGGGTTTAGGGTTTAGGGGTCAGGGTTTAGGGTTTAGGATTTTTAAGGGTAGATCGCAACACCTCGTTGAGCAATCAAAGTACTAGTCGCCACAGAACCTTCACCAAAAGCAGCAAATTTGGTGACTGCACCCAAAAAGCTGAACACGTTCAGGGTTTAGGGTTTAGGGTTTAGGTCCACGATGGTCCGGGATTTAGGACTCTGGTTCCCTGTGTCCAGAACCTTATGCTCTCGAAAGCCCAACCCTAAACCTTCAGAACTGCCCCGCCTCAGTAACAGTTGGATTATAAGTATAATACGGTTATATATAGCCCTTAATAGGACCCCTAATATAGACTGTTACTGGGTGGGGGCAGTACCCAACCTACAACCCTAATCGCAGCTCAGACACTCATCGTCAAACTCAAGGCACTTTACTGCCTGAGCAGCCGAGACCATCAACTTTGGGTAATGTAGTAATATAGGGGTTATAATATAACCCTTTAGGGTTTAGGGTTTAGGGTTTAGGATAATACTTGCACGAATACCTGCACCAATACTCTTTCTAATATATAAATGAATATTGAACATGTCAAAAACCAGGTAAGAAAATTAACGTGATACCAATTCAAATATTAATCCGTAGGGTTTAAGGTTAAGCACTAAGCACTAACGGCTCAAGGTGTAGGGTCAAAGGCTTGAGGCTTAGGGCTTACGGCTTGGAACCCCAAACCCTAAACCCTAAGCCCTAAACCCTAAATGTCCAGGGTTTATAGGGAACCCAAAGCCCTCGCTTCACACTGCCTCGCCGTGCTCCCCAATGCAAATGTCACGGTGGCTGCAGAAGTCCTTAACGGGTTACGGCTCAGTGTTCCTTAGGGTTTAGGGTTTAGGGTTTAGGGTCGGGTTTAGGGTTGGTTGGGGTTAGTGCATGAACGACTACAAAACGCGTATAAGCTCCCAATGCTTCCCAATGCTGGGGCTAAAGGATCTTGTCAAGGGGCCTGTACAAAGTGCCACACAGAATACTGACGTTGAAAGAGTGACAGCTGGTGGCCTGGCTTTCATTCTTCTTCCAGTCCTCTCAATTGAAACTCACGTTGAATCACGATTCTAGCTCATGTCTTCCTTTATTCCTATGATACACGGTGGTGCTTATGAATGGCTAAAAGCACATGTAGGTTCCCACGATGCTCAATGTTCCTCAGGAACCCTTGTTGTATGCGCATAAGCCCCAGGAAATGTGCACAGAGAACATCCATGCACAATCTGCAACACGATCCGTACAAACCCTAAGCCCGAATCCCTACCCAAGAGAGTCCTAGATACCCAAAACCCCTGAAACTCGCCCTGCACCCTAAAGCCTGAACCCTGAAACCTATAGTCCCCCTTAAGTAGATAGAAGATGGCTTTGGGCAGATAAAATAAGAGCCCAATATACCCCATATTCTATCCTTAAACCATAAACCCTGAATCCTAAATAGTAGTTTCCATTTTCTTTTCCACTATCCCAATATAACCCCTATATCCCCCTTAAAGGGACCAAGTGCTCTATCTACTTGATGGGGACTATAATCCCTAAGTCCAGCAAGAGAGGCTTCTAAACCCTAAACCCTAAACCCTAGGGGACTATAAGCATGTATCTTGCATGTTTGGGCTGTTCATCATTGACCTGTGGGCCGCTTGCTCCTAGACCCTGAAGGATGTTGCGGGGGTTTGGCTGCTTGAGGGTAGGGTCTAGGGTTTAGGGTTTAGGTGGGGTCAATCCCCCACCCAGTAATGGGTACCACAAGAGGCTACTGAATTAAGGCCCCATTAACTAACTCCATATTAAGGAGCTATTACGGGTTTATGGTAAAAACAAAACCTCCCGCCTAAACTCACGGTTAGGATTCAGGGTTTGGGTCATGGGGTTGAGGGTACAGAATTTAGGTCTCCATGCACCAGACCTCAGACCTCTGAAAACCTCATAAACCTGAAACCCCAAACCCTAAACCCTAAACCCTGAACCCCAAACCCTAAACCCTAAACCCTAAACCCTGAACCCCAGACCCTAAACCCTAAACCCTAAACCCTAAACTCCAAAGCCGAAGCCTGGGGCTGAAAGTCGACTGGGTTTCGGGTCTAGGGGTTTAGGGCTTAGGGTTTAGGGTTTAGGGTTTAGGGGTTAGGGCTTAGGGGGCTAGGGGTTTCGGGTGTAAGGATTAGGGGTTTAGTGTTTAAGGTTCCTTCACGAAATAGAACACGAACCCTAAATCATGCACCCGAACCCTTCAGATCCTCATTTGAAGTCTAGGGTTTAGGGCTTCGGCTCGAAACCCTCAACTCTTAACCTTAAACCTAAAAGCCCTAAACCCTGAGCCTACACATACCCATTCCCATGTAACCCTATCCCCTACAGAACCCCGGCCTAAACCCTAATCCCTGAACCCTATAGGGTTTAGGGTTGACAAAGTACCAGATCATGTCATTTGCAATGTTCTTTCCATTTGATTCTGCGTTCTCATTAAGTACTATCCATGAACCCTAAACCCTAAACCCTAGCCCCTAAAGCTCTCAACCCTAGATAACCCTTCAACTGTGGTGCCAGATAAAACCTAAAGCCCTGCATACCATGAAACATCCCTAGAACCTAAGCCGTGGCTCAGATAAAATGACCTTCTTGGACAGGCCGGAGGCCACGCACTTTGCAGAGCCCTAGGACTGCTTGAAGGGTTTAGGGTTTAG